AATAATAGTCATGATAAAATAGATATTTGTCAATAACACAGTTGTAATCAGTAGAAGTTTTTTCTTTAGCAACACTAACATTGTTCTGAACGGTCAAACTGGCCCGGACTTGAAACATGCTGCACTTGTCTCATCTTATAAGTCTAATGAATGGCGTCGATTAATCGCATCTGTCTCTTAATTACTACAGTAATGGTTTAAGGCTTCTGATTCTTTATTATATAATGCTTCTGACTGCTGACTCCCACGAATTTTGTCTTTTTGATCATCTATTAATCTAAGTTTCCGTTCTTCACTCATTACTATCTCTCTTGTTAGTGTGAAATATGCTGTAAAAGGAACAGCAAATACAAATATATTAATGACCACTTGTAATGCTCAGCAATCATTTGATTCTTGGTTGAATAAAACGTATTGGTTATAATAAAGCCATTGTCACATTAGAAGACTCGGAGTCTTCTATTCTGGCTTATCGTTCATATGTTAAAAGGGGGTCTTCTAAGATGTCCCTAAAAAAATTATATTTTTTGATAGTTCCGCCAACAAATCCCAGTTTCACTCGAATTTTGTCCCATATATCGTCAGTAAATGAGTTTTCTTTACTTACTTTACGTGTGTAGAATATAAAAGAGACAGATACTATCCTATGAAAAAGGGGAGACCATTGTTGGAAAGAAGTGTTCTTAGAACTATACAGTCAACGTAGCCTAGCATTTTGGTATGATACCCACTAGTGTTCTTTTTCTCAGGGCGAAGATCTATCACTAGCAACATTTTATGTTTGCAATAACGAAATAAATAAAAAAAAGAAAATTAACTTTTTTATCAAGCTCATCTAATTCAGTTGCTTATGTGGAGATTTGATGAGTATAGATGAAATTCGTTCACAGTGGATTCTGCCAGTAGCATAGTTAGTAGTCTCAAGCTAACTTCAATGAATAAGGTTATTTTGTGAAGAACACCATTTATAGAAAATCAGCAGTTGAATACACACTCTGTGTTTTCTTTTGTGTCTATTTCAAAAAATGCCTTTAGATCTTATTGAGAAAAGAAATGCGTTCTCGAATTCAAAAGAAGTTCTCACACATAAAACCACGATGTATATACATGAAGTTGTTTTCTTCAATTATGAAAGACTATTTTGTGGTACAAACGTTTCTGATTTTCTAGAAGAAAGTCAAAGATGAAGAGGTCTTTTAATTAATACACAGCCGCATTTTACTTAATCTGTTATTATTGTACGAAGATCTCTTCATGTATTTCACGCGCGAATACGTACTGTGTTCATTAGCTCCTATGACCATAGAATAGTGTGTCTCGCATATAGAACCTGAAGAATGTTTTCAGAGTAAGCTGCAAAGAAGTACTAAAATGACTCCACGCTATGTTTTTAACAAAGAGATGTAATCTTTAATAGATAGATGTTTTCTATTAGCTGCTTCTCAATATTTTACTCGCTCGGATTTGACACTTTGTTGATAAGAACGGAAGCAAAATATTGTTCGTACTGAATTTAGATGTAACGATGGATTTTAATACTAAAAAAGTCAATAAACCCCAGAAACTACTTCAAAATATTGGTTTTTTAGGGAATCTTCTAATCTGTCTTTTGCGGCATTTATTCAATGGGGGTCTTCTAATATAGGAAGGTCTTCTAATGTGTCAAGGGATTTACGATGAATTTCATATAATGGAATAATCTGATGCATCTTTTTTCAAGAAGAGTGACTTCGACTTCAAGGAAAAGGAATGATTTGCGAAGAAAAACGCTTCTATAATCAAAGTTTTGAAACAAAAAAAACAAGAATGTAGAAACTTGAAAAATTCAAATCAGAAAATAAAGCAGAAATGTGTTTTCTCGAGTCTCAATAAAATCTCTGGGTGTCGTCACTTTACGATCGTGTGCACCTTGTGAAATAAAGTTAAAACTCTAATCCATGAGACTGAGACGTTTAAACTGCTGCATATATATCCATTTGAGGCATGTTCAGATTTCCGAAAAAGGAAATTACAGAAATTTCCGAAACTTCCATCAACTCGATAACTACATAGCAAAGCAAACGAAAATTTTTTGGAAATATTGAAAAGTTTAGAAATTTTAGAATTTTCTGTAATTTCTGAAACTTCGCTACGTACACCCAGGTCGAATTCACCCTGTCGAATCCGATAGAAATTCGCCGGAATTTGTCGGAATCCTAACCACAGGATTCCGACAAGTGGTTCTGGATGTCGGAAAGTGTCGGAGTTTCAGGGATTTCGCAGGATCCTGATTATTCCGACATCCGGAACCTCCTGTCGGAATCCTGTGGCTAGGACGCCGACAACTTCCGACGAGTTCCCGTCGGATCCGTTAAAATCCGGTAATTTTTCCGATATAATCCGATATAATCCGACGTAATCCGACAGTCGGATCGAATCACCTGGGGCAGAGTTTTGAAAATTTCAGAAATTTCGGAAATTATATAATTTTGGAAAGCACCAAACAATTTAGAACACAAGTGCTTGAAATTTCCAAAACTTCCAAAATTTCTTTTTTCGGAAGTCTGAACACTGCTGATCCATTTGTGTGTTTTGTTTATTCACCTTTAGTCCATAGAAAAATATTATCATCTGTTCCACAAACGTGGTTTTTAATTACAACTAAGTTTTACAAGATAAAAAGATAAAGACTATTCATTCATAAGATTGTCGTTTGATCATAAGCTGAATTCATCGTAAGTTTTACTTTAGAAATAATTAATACAAAAAAATTATCTTAATCAACTAACTACGATCGTATTCATTTACTTCCTTTAGCATAGATAGAACAAATATTTTCGTCGAATCGATGATGGCTCATAACATAAAGAATATTTTCGACAATTTTCGATCCACCTTGAACATCAGGTTCAATATGATTCGCATAATCTTTTGGATCATTAAAGATTGATTTAAGATCAATAATAGGAATACCAAGCTATGACAAAAAAAAACACTCATAAATTTGATTATATAAGTTTACAAATACTTTAGTTGATTCCGTCACGATAACATCATTTAGTACTAATAACCCAGTTTCGCACATAAGTTGTTGTTGAGGATTATCAAAATTTGGTTTATACATTGTGCATATTGTTGTAGGAATTTTACATTCACTTACATGTTTTAGCATTTCAATATAATCCTATAAATATAAATATTACATCGAAAAAGAACAATCTTTTTAATACTTTTTCGAATTCTTTTCTAAATTCGCTTAACAAAATTAATGCTTCTCCAACATTTTGAACTGATTCTTGTAAACGTTGCATATAAGAAAGAGCATCATTTCCACCTAAAACTATTTCAATATAAATTTTTTATAAAATCATACAAATTAAGTTGTACCAATTGAAATAAATAAGTGTGTAGCATCTTGCGGTATTCTTGTCAATTGAGTAGATATATGTGAAATTGAATGTCCATCGACAGCAACTGATGTTGCATTCCAACCTCGTTCTTTAGTTTTAAGTTTAAGTTGATCAATTATAGAAGGATTTCCCTTTCCCACATAAAATCTATTGTCAAGTGTACTATCACCAAGTAGAACAAGATGAGGAATAGCAGCTCCCATATTTGGTTTTGTTTAAGACATGAATGATATAAAAAATCGAGACTAATATAAATAGTCTGTTGATGACTCATCAAGTTGCCACGAAGGCTTTACTTACTTTAGTCACATGTGCCATATTCGGGAGAAAATGATTCATTATAATTTCTTTTCTTTCTCTCAAATATGAAAATATTATTTCTCATCATGTACACTCAAATGTAGACATTGTAAGTTATTCACTTTCGGTTATACAGTGTTGTTTCTTATTTGACATTGAATGAAATGATAAATATTCTTTTTTGTGATATGGAAAAATGTATTAATTGTGTTATTATGATAGATATAGAAATGCTATAAAAGATGATCACATTTCAATTGTTTTTGATCTTTTAACCATTAATGCTTTTTTTTAGGAAAAAAAGAAATATAAATACAAGAAAAAGACAAAACAAATAACTTAAAATTCATTTGGTTGTTGTAATAGATCTAAATAGAATAAAAAATGAAAAACTCATAGAAACAGAAAAATCTTTTTTTTTTCTTTTTCTACCACTATGTTGTTGTGATGGAGACCTTCTTTTTGGTACATTAGCAGATATATGTTGTGATCGATGTTTTATATTATTGCTTTTATTTGTTATTAGAGCAACTGAACATGAATCAAATGACTTGAAATACCAACCTTGAGCATTGACATCAGGGTAAGAGCTTGTCTTCATAGGATATCGTCCAGGTTTCACTGCCCGAATAGCTTGATTCTACTCATAAAATAACTCATTTTATCAAAAATTATTTGAAAAAAAAACCAACTCTTCGCTTGATGAGCGTAAGATGAATCAATGAGTAATTCTAAATTTCATTCAAAATTATTTTTTTAATTGATTTTGATGCATGTGCTTGTTCGTAATGTCGGATAATCGAAATCAAACTTATAAAGGGAATTGAACGATATTATTGTATAAGAAGTTGCTCATAGTAGATACAAATTGAAGAGAACAACAGAAGGATGTTTTTTAATATTTTAACATTTTGGTGTAACAACTTTATATGCTAGATAAAAATCCTCAAGGTACTGAGGTATTTCACGAGCTGTTCGAGCAACTATATAGAAAAAGATTTAGTTTGCTCTTTCTCTGATGCAGTCACATTAAACATAATAATACCAATATTCTTTCATTATTATAACTCGTTGCTAGGATACGACCTCCGTTCATCATTGGTTATCTTGAATTCATTAGAAATACATTTTTCTTTTTTATTGAAAACAGAAAGTGTCAATTGAACATCAGAAAAAATTAATTGAAATTTCGATAAATATTTTCATAAATGAATAGTTATCATTTGATTGGTTCATAAACTATCTTTTTTGTTGTTATCATTATTCATACACAAGTTGTTTTTTTTTGTTTTCGAACTAATCTCACCGAGAATGACAGAACCTAATCCTGTATTATGCGTCAATGAGGATATAGCCTCAACAAACAACACCGAGCAGCAAGAAACAACAACACCAACACCAACAACAACAGTTACAAACGGTAGCAAGACTTATTTCAAGATCTTTAGTATTGTATTTTCTTTTTTCCTTCAGATGAATCTAATCAAGAAGCAATTGTTGCACCAGCCGAAGAAACTACTAATGAAAATGTTACTGATGAAAATAAAACGGATGAAAATAAAACGGATGAAAATAAAACTGATGAGAATAAGACTGATGAAAATAAGACTGAAGAAAAAAAACAAATTCTAGGTTAAATTTCTACAAATAAATTGCATTTAATTTGTTTTTGTTATTTGTTTCAGAAACCTCATCTAATATAAATACAAAAGAAACAGAGTCTCAGTCTAAAGAACCATCAAGTGAAAGACAATTTCAAGATGCTGAAAAGACAATAGAAGAGGACGAAGACGTCTATGATGATAATGATTCCGAATATGAAGATGTCGACGATGAAGGAGAAGAAGAAGAAATTGATGAGAAAAATCCTTTACAGGTTTCAAATAAAACACCAAATCAAGTATAACAACAAAACATGTCAAGTACTTATTTATTTTCATTGTTTTTTAAAATTTAGAGCGGCAATGAAGAAGATGAGGAACGTATTAATATAAAACCTCGTCGTTTACCTAAAAAACATGATGAAAATGAACACTCAGAAGGTTATGAAGATGATGATAATCAAAATATACCAAATAATAAAGCGAAATCAACTCGACGAACAGAAAAGGTCTTTAAAAAAAATAAAAAAATTTGTTTTTCTATTTAATAAATTTTTCAAATTTTATTAGAAATCGGAAAAAAATCTGGAACCACTTGATGACGATAATGATGCTCGAAATCCAGCTTATATTCCACGTAAAGGGAAATTTTATGAACATGATGATCGAACAAATGATGAACCAGAACAAGGAAAGCAGTTCGTATTGATATAAAACAAAATTCTTTTTCGTTCAACAAAAAACTCACCTTTGTTTTTTTTTAAGAGAACCAGCAAGAAATCGAAATCGTCTCTATAGAGATTCAGATGCTAAATGGCAACATGATTTATATTATGATAATGAAGATGAATCAAACACTCGTCAGTCAAATTATAGAGGACAAAGACGTGGTCATTTCAGGTTAGTCTCGTTGTCAAAATTTAAGAAAGAAATCATGAAACCATCGAGTATTCGAAGTACTTGATGACAAAAAAGCTTCTTCGTCCATTCAATCCATTGAAGTCTGAAACTCAAAAATTCAAGCTTCCAATAGGTTTTTTTTTTGAAAAGTTAGACCATGCCGACGTTTTTGTCTCTATGCAAACCGATGGGTTTGGCATATCTCTTGAATAGCAATATATTATGTTCTAGGATCTGGGATGTGTAGGACCATGAAAATAAAATTGCTGAGACTGAAGCTAGGACTACAGGAAAAATGTTTTCTTAACTGGAACTAACGTTATTTTTAACTACTCTATGGTTTTTAAGCGAATTATTGTATAAATCAAATCATTATTTAAGAGAGATGATCCAAAAAAATGCTAGTTGTCGACTGAATCGATCAAATAAACAAATATTGAGCTTTTTAGATGTGACGAGAATAAAATCTGGCACTTTCCTCGAGATTGAACCCTGAACAAGTAAAATCATTCAGATCGAAACCAAGAGAACTTTGTTTCGCACATCTCTAGTTGGTATTCACAATCAGAGACTTTCAAGCTGAGTTTTATATGTATGTTATGTAACATCTTCTCTACAAAATGGTATCTTCGTGGTAAAACGAGATTCAAATCTATCTCCTACATATTGATTTTTCACTGGGAAAAATCACATTGAATCAAATCGATATTAGAAGATTTTTTTTCTCTGCAAAACTGATTCCGGATCCCTAAGATACCATTTTTCCTGACTATCCTTTTAACATTTTGCAGAGACTCAATATTTGCATAACAATTATGTAAAGTTTAGCTGGGAATTCTCTGATTCTGAGTTCGAAAAAGAGACAAACCGTTAGCAAATGGACATTTTAGACTCATCGAACACGCTATTTTCTGTAAATATTCACCTTTGAAAACTTGAGTCTGTTGACTTTATATTATATTGAAATAGCTCAATTTGTTCAGTTTTTAATTTTCTATCTTTTAGTATAATTTATAAAATGTTTGAATGATCCGTTGAAACAAAAACGAGCATAACTTTTACATGCTATATTTTGCTGTCTTTTTTTTTCTCATAAGAATATGAAAGTGATAAAAACTTAATATTGACACATTTTTCAAACAAAAGACTTTTGGAAGTTAAACTATTGGGTTTGGTGGCTTCTGACATCGATGTAATACATTCAGAGAGAAAATGACATTTTTTTATGAAACGCCTTATTAACTTAATAGTCTTATAATTCCTCTGTTAAATCTATAGTTTATCGTTCATTTTCAGACGTGGTGGTGGCGGTGGTGGTGATGATCGAAATCAATTACATTTAAATGATTATATTCCTCCAGCTCAAAGAGGACGAGGTGGTGGTTATCGTCACCAACAATATTATGATGAAGGAAATGATTATCGTCGACGAGCTCCACCATATGCTAAATCACGCAATGATCGAATGAATAATTTTGAATTTGAAGATTATAATCGTCCATCGTCATATAGTAATAATCGTGGTCGTGGTAATCGAAATAATTATGTTGAACAGCAGGCACCACCTCGTAGACAAAGACGTGATTTTGAACAATATCAAACTGAAGAACATTCTATACCACCACGTCATAATCAACAACATGCAACAATGGAACAAGCATTTCATCGTGAAAGAAATTTTACTAATACTCAATTTCAACAACAACGTAATGTACCAAAAAATAATAATAATCGTGATGATCAAAAACGATCAACTGGACAAACGCATGAGGTAAATCAAGATGATAATAAAAATAAAAATCGTAATCAACGTCGAGAGAATAATGAACCACCAAGACGTCAAATAAAAAATAATCGAAATCAACAACAACAGCAACAACAACAGAATGAACCTAGTGCTACGAATTCAAATCTCTCTGCTGAAGCGCCAAGTTTTGAACGTCCTAAACGTTATTCAAATATGCGTAGTAATGCTTCAAATTCTGGCCAACAACAACAGCAACCACCACCGGTTCAACAACCTCAAATACCAATACAATCCTATCAAGATCAACGTACTGGTTATTATGATCAAAGTATATCTATATACGTGTTTTCGTATATAACCAAATTTCAATTTTTTTAGCTCATTGGCAGCAAGGACCACCACCTCCAACTACATATATTCAACAACAACAGCAAATGATACCAACACAAATGTATCATCCGCAGCAACCAATCCCACCTCAAACTTTCTATGTTCCTCCACAATATCAAGCAGCTGCACAATATGTTCCTATAAATTATCCACAAGGATCTATACCTCCACAAGTAAGACACAATAGGAAAATCAAAATGAAATTCATTTTGTGCAACACGATCTTGTTATAATATGAACGACTTCGTAAAACCAGAACACGTGTATCTCTAAACAATGGACTTTTCCAGAACTAATTTTTGTACGTTAGATATATGTTAAGTTATTCTAAATGGTCTAAAAAAATCGACTCTAGATATCTTCGTTCAGAAGAGTTATCAGTAAAAAAATTAGCGTTAGCAAAGTGACGCAAAACAAAGACATTGACTTGTATTTCATGCATTTTTAATTTGCAAAAAGCTATGATTTGGGGCAACAAAATCTCAATACAAAGTTCTTTCTGAGAATGCCTAGGTTTTATCTATAGAACAAGATATGTAAGTTTGTAAAAATAGACTTTTTCCATTGAATAGGCTACGTATTATCAAGTTTCACTACTTACCATGGACATATCAACAGGTGACGTTACTTTTTGATATGTGAACAGTGCGCAGTAGAATCTGATTATACATACACTATTACATAGTGGAGATTCTTGCGTACAAGTCTACATATATATACCAATCTGTAGTTAAAATCTTATCCTCACCTATCACCATAGATGAGTTTCGTGAAGTCCAGTCTGTCTACACCAACATGTTTTCACCTTTTTTTTGCTACAAGAACTTATTCAGAGGAATAAACCTTGTAAAGAATAGAAGGTAAGTCTATCACTTTTTTGTCTTGAAATAGCTCATATATGAATTACTTTCTTATGGCAATTCTGGAGGATAAAGGAAAATAATAATGAAGAAATATGTCCTCAAATAGATACGATAAAATAATGTCGATATGTTTGACGACAGCAGCTATATCGTGTTTTACATTTTATTCCATTCAGAATTGTACTAATAGCTTTGTTTTTTTTTATAAATATTTTTATTTCGTAGCTTCAAGACAAATGATGCCAATAATTAATCATCTGTTTTTACAAACAATGAAGTATTAGTGAAGAGAATATAATCGAACAAATCAAGTCGGAGAGAAATCATCTCTTCGTTAGCAATTGTTCGATTTACAATTGTATGTATCGTTATTGTTACAAAAAATTAATTTAATTTTTTGTTTTTGTTTTTCTTTGTTTTTTGTAGTTCATTATACTTCATATTAAAAAAAATTATGCCGTAAAAGACTATTTTTTTCTTCTTTTCTTCACTTTGATACATTTTTTTGTTACACGTAATTCCTATTTCTCTTTTGTTCTTTGATTTAACTCTGACAATTTTCATTGTTTAACAATGAGAAAATACTTAAACAAGAAATTCTACTTTTCGCAAAAAAAACCAACGAATAAAACGAACAAAAAAAAAGAAGACATTTATTCTGCGTTTTATTTGTCATTTCTTATCTAATGGGTATATGTACATACCCAATTGATTGTGTGTGTGTGTGTGTGCGTGTACGTGACATTTATTGTTTCATAAGTTCTACACCTGCTTAAAATTGTTTGCCACTGAACTATTTTTTGTGTGTGCGTTTTATTTGCGCCTGTCAATATAGGTCGCTTTATCATTTTTTTTTGTTTTTGTTCTGTTCATTTGTTCTGTTTAAATATTCGGGCTTTGACTATGCGATGTATGTCTATGTCTTTATTATGATAATCACAGACTATATGACTGGACTTTGTGACTTTTTTTTTGGCTTGACGTTTGTCTTTCTATTACTCATTTCAAATGGCATTTGCAGTTGGTAACACCATCAATGGTCGATTATCCTATTCTGATAGCAAACTATAGTGATTGTTCTCTCTCCATAATCATTAAGAAAGCATTTTTCTTTATTTTTCATGGAGCAAATAACGACATCATTCAGTTTTGACTGGATATTTTTTCGATTAACACATTGCCATAATTTCAATGAATATTCACGAAAGGTTTCTATCAACAAAGAATAGTTCTAATAGGAAAAAATATAATATATCGTATATCATTAGTCTGTTCTTTTTTTTTCTTGACTTCAAAAAAAATATTACATCTGTTGCACTTGAATTCGGCTTTTTTTTGCATACATATGCATATATACACATATACAAGTAGGCAAATACAAAGAAGAGATTATTTTTATTTATAAAAAAGACTTATCAATGCTACCTTCTAATGAAATCATGCATTCTCTTATATTATTTTGTTTATTTAAAATAATAAGTAAGTACATAAATTAAAGGTTAATCTTAGGAGGAGTTTTATTTAAAAAAATAGTTGGAGGTGAACATCAACGTCGTTTATTAAAATATTTACTCGATGAAAATAATCATAATCCACTTGAAAGACCTGTTTATAATGATTCTCATAGTTTAACTGTAACAATGAATATGGCTTTACAACAAATAATTGATTTTGTGAGTGTAATTATGACACAAATCTATATGAATTCATATATTTATTAAAAAATAGGATGAAAAAAATGAAATTCTTGCTGTTAGTGGTTGGATAGTTCTTGTATGTGTGTTGACTTATTTTATAATAATTATTGTTTTTTTTTTCTAAATATATTCAATCCAGGCATGGCATGATTATAGTTTACAATGGAAACCAGAAGAATTTGGAAATATTCAAACTATTCGTATACCTAGTACACGTGTTTGGACACCAGATATTCTTCTTTATAATAGGTATAATGAACAATAAAAAAAAAAGAAAAGATTTTTCATTTTTATTTTTTTTGAAAGTGCTGATCTCAATTTTGAAGGTATAATGAAAACGAATTTAATTGTACAATCAAATGGTAGTATATTTTTTGTCCCACCGGCGATATTTAAATCAATTTGTCCATTTAATATTGCTTCATTTCCATTTGTAAGTTATGAGAAAAAAATACTTTTATTAATTTGTATATATCTTTTTCTTTTTGGGACATTCAAAATTGTACATTAAAATTCGGTCCATGGTCTTTTGACGAATCCGGTTAGTAGAAAAAAAGAATTGATAGATCGTCTCATTTCGTCTATTGTTCATCGCAAGATGGTTAGATCTATGATAATTGACTTCCAGTTCATCCCTTACAGAGAGTGAGAATGATGAAAAAGAAAGTTAGCTCTTTATTTCCTAACACATGACAAAAAATTGCATGACCACATTTGATAGCTAATTTAAGATCTGATAATTCGCCAACGTCTTTCCTATGAAATAGACGGAACTATGGGATATCGATCTCTTCGTAGATTTTTTTCGTTGTTGCATTTGTAATTCTTCTGACTTTTGTTGCCGAAAACCACGTTCTTCATGTCAACGTTTGCTGAATTGAAATATTTAGGACATACTAAAAGTAGTAATCTCAGTAGCACTATAATATCTGAATGAGGACTCAAGGAAAATTGATTATGTAAGAATTTCGATGAAAAGTATTCATCTCTAATTTAGATGGATAAGGAGAACTGTCACTTCTACATTTGAGTCCATACTACACTATATTTAGATGTGGGTGGCTAGGCAACATCTCTTGGAACATTCGAAAAATAATATCGATGATTTCATAAACGACAAGAAGAGATTGAAGATAAAGAATGACTTTCTAGACCTATAATTCAGACCATATTTTGCATGATCAACCTGACACTCCGCTGTTTTGATATCCAATGAGGATAAGTCTTTGTGAGTAAACGATGATCGAAGATTATTCATTGGCTAGCACCATGACTCACATCAATTTGCATTTGTAATTTATTGTATATAGAAAATTTCTTCAAGCCTTCTATAAAGTATTATAGTGCTACTGTCACTACTGTTGAGATGCACTAAGCATATGAGGACGAGAGGAAAACTGAGTGTTTAATCCGTTCTTTAAGCCATCCCTGTTTGAAAGTTCTTCGATACTAGCTTCTTGTACATTCTATAACTGTATAGAAAACCAAGAAGCTGAACTTTGATCATACGTTTCAATCAAATAATCATTAAAATTCATTGTATTTTCATATTGAGTTAAAGCGACTTCTTTCACAATAAGACAAACAAGAGACGAAATGAGATTAACGGAAAAATAGATCATAAATTCCTATTGATTACTTTTTTTTTTTCATTTAATAGGTATTAATCTAACAACTGATCATAGTGAAGGTCAGTTAGATGCATATGTCCAAAGTGGTGAATGGGATTTAGAGGGTATAGAAAAACACAAATTGCTATCAATAATATAAATTTTTTGTTTTATAGCTTTTATTGTTGTACGAAAAGCAGTTGTTTACGAATGTTGTCCAACAGTATATCCATTTGTTTTATTTACAATTCGAATTCGTCGACGTACTCTTTATTATGTTGTTAATGTAGTTGGTAAAAAAAATAAATATTTATTTACTTTTGATTTCATATGAGTATTAGTTTTGTTTTTCATATAGTTCCATGTGTTGTGATTAGCTTTATGACTGTACTTGGATTTCTTTTACCACCAGATAGTGGTGAAAAATTAACTCTACGTAAGAGAATAATGATTAATGTTTATTAAAAAAAATTTGTTTACTTGTTTGTTTTTTCGAATAATAGAAATTACAATTCTTCTTTCAATTGTTATGTTTAGTTTATTAATCGCAGGAATTATACCAGCTAGTTCAACGGCTTTACCAACTATTGTAATGTATTTTACAACAGTTATGTGTATGTGTTCAATGTCCGTTGTTGCTACTGTTGTTGTACTTGTTCTTCATCATAGAAATGCAAAAAATCATACAATGCCAATGTGGGTAAGAAGTTTATTAATGATAATTGATTGTTACACATGAAAACAGATCATTAAAAAGTTACAAACTCTTTCAAATGAGTATCATCTTTCAAAGTAACTATTATTAAACATGAAAGGTTTTAAAGAGTAATTCGTTAATATTCTTAAAAAACAAATATCATGAATGCTTATTTTTCTTTTTTCCATTGGAAGACGTGATTTTGAGAATAATATTGCCACTTCAGTCAGTTTTTTTTTGTCGGGAGTGACAACTTTTTACCATAAACAACATATTGGTCTATAAAAATATACATAAAGTTTTCAGTTCATACATGATCTTTGTGCTATTGAATTGACTGTCAAGATTTAATTGGTAGCTTTAAACACATATTCCAATCAATGTCATTTTGATTTCTCAATACAAAGTAACAAGTGAGTTAGGATGAATGATCACTTCATATTTTATTTTTTTATCATCTAATACATTGTACAGAAAAAAACAAAATATACCTCAACATGTAGCGTCAAAAGCTCTACAATCTACAACACAAAGCTCATTCTATATGGTCATATTTAGTTTTCAAAATAGACAAAGTTCTGTGTAACTCATTTTGTACACTGCGAATTTCTTTTCTTATTTCATCAATTAGTGAATTACAGTTTTTAATTTTTTTCATTGCATGTGATTGTCGATAGTCACTCATATATAATAACCCTGAGCATTACGACCGGAACTAGAAATGTGCAGAAGCAAAGTTTAGAATTTTCTCAGGACTAGGACCATGAGAAAGACAAGTTGCTGAGACGAGAGCAAATAATACGAGAAAAAAAAGCTGTTCCATCTGGAACTAAAGACTATAGCTAAATAATTACTCTATAGCTTTAAGAGAATTACCTTGTAGATCATATCAGTTAGAACATAATTGAAGAGTAATGATTTAAAGACAGTGCTAGTCATCAACTAATTTAATCAAAATGCGAATTCAAGAGATCAGATAAAATCGTACAAAAAATTCTTAATCTTTTGAAGACTAGAGTGTCTTGAGTGATTTCATCTGGTCGTACAAGAGCTTGTTGCCGATTTTTTGTCCCTGATATTTATGAAGTGCATGAAATTTCCTTTAAATCATACACATGATAACGGATGTATCAGTAGCGTAGCATTATCTTGTTGATAAATGAAATCATCACCTAGTAGACGCTGATATTCGTAGCTTGTGCATGTAAAAGAATATCTTCAACATAATTCTCATATGATAATGTTTTACTGGGTTTATATATCATTGAAAATATAAGGTCATTTTTCGAAGTTCCTAACCGTACCATTATTTCTTTTTGAATAACATCAGAATAAGTGAAAAAAAATATAATAAAAATACATATCTATTGGTCTAAAGTCAGCTATCGATTATAGCCTTCGATATATATAAAAACAAAGATTGTATTGTCGATTGTAGAACTATTCACGCTGCATCTTGTAGTAGATTTTATTTTTCGGATAGTTAATCTTCATTATATTTTTATAATATGGCATCATTAGTTTTGAAACCGATTGAAAGTCATCCATTGCAACTGTCAAGGTCTCATCCAGAGGAAAAATTTTAACAGAAATTGATGATTTCTATCTTTCATCAATAAAATGTAATTTAAAAACAGCTGTGGAACGATTTTTGACTCATTATTAGTTCTAATAAAGCTTTCTAGCATGAAGGTCTTATAATATTTTATAAGTTTATATAAAAAAAAAAGAAATAAGTCTAGAAAAATAATTTTTCATATTATTCAGTATAAAGAGTTAAAACATAACCCAACAGAAAGTAAATAGTTAATAAAATTTTTCAGATGATGAAAAAAAAATAGAATTCAAGACATGATCATTCATTATGGCTCATCGGTCATTAGATAGGAAAAGATACATGATTTTGTATAATATTGTTTTTATCAATAAAATTTTGAGAAATGTTTTTTTAAAGATCTTCTTTTTCTTTTTAATGTACTAGATTTATGTATATGTCAATCAATATTTAGCATGGTTATTATGTATGAAACGTCCAGGACATGATTTAAGTTGGAAAGCAATTCGTCGTCGACGTTCTCGTCAAAATAATCCTATTCATAGTTATAAATATCCTCCGTCACCATTATTAGAAAATTCATCAAAATCATTATTAGCCAATATAACAAATATTGATAAACAATCATATCAAAAATCAAATAATCAATTATTAATACCAGTAATGAATCATGTAGAAAATTCTTCTTATAATCATGATACAAATGATGTATTACTACCTTCTGATATAAATATTTATCGTTCTGATCTTCGTATGATAATGTATGAACTTAAATTTCTTGGAGATTATATACGAAAAGAAGAAGTAGATGATGATGTATCACAAGATTGGAAATTTTCAGCAATGGTTATTGATCGTTTATGCCTTGTTTTATTTTCTATAATGACAACAATCTTTAGTTACGTCACACTTTTTTCTGCACCAAATTTTTTTAAACTTCGATAAAGATAATATTATATGTCTGTCATGTTTCTTATCTTTTCTTTATTGTTTATATATATGTTTGCTTTTGTTTTTATATACAGAACAAAGATTGATGATAAACTTTAACGTAAAAGATTTGTCCACGTTCTATATTCATAGCATTTTCTTTTTTTTTGTTTAATACTCGTATGTTAATTGTAATTTTTGTTGAAGAATACTGTGATGTTGATTAATAATAGAATGGTGAGTATAGAAAAGATGAATTCATCATTCGTCATAGACTTTATATAAATGAACGGTTAATTGTTGATTCATCGTTTAGATGAATGAGAGTTCAATTTCCGCTCAAATCAAGTGTGTTTGTATAGAAAATAGAAGAAGAAGAATAGAGAAGAGAAGAATGATTGTCAGTTCTATAAAGCATAGGTTCATTATTTTTTCAATAGCAGTTCAGTCCTAGCGAGAAAATATGACAATATGAACGAATGACTAATCGAAGAGAAAAAAGAGTCAATGTCCTTAGGGAATGGCAACAATATGCATATAGTTGCCGGCAACTTGAAATGGTTCCATTTATTTCAAGATTATGCGCAGTATTATGCTTTTTTAATGAGTCAATCTATTCTATTATTGTCGTTTGCTCTTGAGTTTAAAATGAATGTGACAAGTCATCTTTGTCACGTCGTCTTCTATTGAAATGCATCATGCCGTTTTCCATTATCTTGATGTTGTTGAACATACGAGAAAAAACTTATTAGTCAACTGACTTTCTCTTTTTTTTTCTCTCTCTTGTCTTCTTACTCATCATGCACCAATCATTAACGAGAGAAATACTAAAATACGAGGTTATTTTGACGTCATCGTCAGTTAAAAAAAGTAACAAAGCAAAAACTGAGAAAGAAAGACATAGCTCATTCATTGTTGCCTACGGCACAAGTCATTTAAAGTAAGTTTAGATCTCTATTTACCGATTCAATCTCAATAAACAGTTGGAATTCTCATTTTGATTTGTAAAATTTACTTTATACTTACTTCTTTATCAAGATTAATAGAATGATCTACTGCTCTCAATACTTGCAATTAACAACGTCTTTCTTTAAAATAAATATTATATTTCTTTTTTTTCCTATATATGTCAATAGACATTTGTATAGCGAATGAACTATTCATAAGACGAACTTCTGAATAGCAACATCACATCTGTTCTCATCAAAAAAATAATGTACACAAGTAGATTTTCTCTAATGAGTTGGAATCTTTGTGAAGAGAGCGTCAAACATCATTAGAACAAGAAAAAAAAGCGAGATGAATAATCTTGTTATTCTTGCACTGAGTGAACATTATTCTTCAACATCAAATGCAAACATTTTATCGTCGTTATAACATACATCAAACGATTCTATGGCTTCTATATGCTAATAATATTTTCGACATAAGTTTTGAGACTAAAAATGTCAATAAAATATGTGTCTGTATAGAAATAGTAAACGTTGGAGAGAAGAAGAGAAAAAAAAGAAATCGCTTTTTACATCTATTGTAAATTATAAATTAAATCACTTAAACGTAAAAAAAAGAGTGAGTAGATGAAGAAAAAAAAACTTTCATTATGCATGGATTCAATTTTTAATAATGACTAATACGTATTTGTCTTTGAAATGTTTAGTTGTTTATTGACATGCGCTGTTCTTTTTTTTTTCTTCTTTCTATAACGAAAAGATTATTGTGATCATTTTTAATTAGAATTAAATCTTATTTGCTATCATTTGTTTTAGATTCAATGTGATTAATGCCACGTATCATTGATAATCTTGTTCATTTTAACGGTAGAGGTGACGAGGTAAGAAAATAAAAATAAAAATATTTTCTTTCTATATTGATAATGAAACTTAATTTACCTACAACAGAGTTCTACAATGAATCGACAGGTAGGAGAATGATATACATCTTGCTGTCTTGAAATTAACCAATTTGTTCTCTCGTATAACTCAATTTTTTTATAGACATATGTATGTTAAAATAGAATACATGTCGTGCTAAATTAATAGTTTTTCTTCAACGAGATCACTAACTTCAAAACTAAACTGATTAATTGAATAGAATTTTATCAGCAAATGTCTTGTTTGATTTCCCTTGTTCAGTATATAATTGAAAAGAATATGATCAAATAGGGAGTGTCAACATTTAATTACAAAAAAAAAAGAAAAGTGTTTGTTTTTATCGTTCACTAATGATATTTTAATATGCACTTTATGAAAGTGCACAGCTGTTTTTTTTTCTTTGCAGATGTATTTTTTTTAGTACATTGGTTTCTTTTTGTCAAATAGTACAAATTTAGTCTGTTTATTTCGGTCGAGATAGCAATATAACTTTTGAACTGTAGATAAAAAAGAAATTAACACAACTTAACATAATGAGAATGAATGTAACTTGATTTTTCTTGAACGTTTTTTTTAGTCAATAATTGAATAGAAATATTCTTTATATGATGTTAGTCAGCTTGAAGTTTTATAATTCTAACTTAGATATTTACATAAAATATGCATTTGCAAAATCGATAAATGAAATGCGAAGGAAAAGAAATAGCACTGACATTCATCGATCTATTAAATTAGTCATGTTCTTCGTCTGTTTAAATCGATTAATGTGCATTCATCCGTCAATATTAGTTCGATTTCTATATATGAAGAGAATGTTTCTAGAAGGCATTGCATATCTAATAAAAATCATATTGTTCATTTAAGCTGTATAAATCGATTTGTTTGTATATGTCTCTATTAATTAGACAGCAAATAGAAAAAGAATTCGATTTTGAATTATAAAATCTAAAATAGAAAAAATAAAACTTGTTTGATTGCCTACTTTGCTTTTAATTAATATATTATATTTGTATATTTTAATATAATATTTATTCAAAATTTAGACAATATCTTCATCAACAAAAATGGGTCTTGTGAATTTACGAGATTTAGTTGAATCATCAGCACATCGATGGTATAAAGATAATGAAAAAGATACGATGAAAGCTAGATGGGGAAAAACTTATAATTGGAAAGAACTTGTCAAAGAAATTGATTGGAGATCATTAAAGTTTGTTTTGTTTTAATTTTTGTTTTTTTCAAAATTTCCTTTTTGCTTTTGTTTGTGGTTCAATAGAGTACGTCATGATCCTGTTATTTATACAGATATTGACACTCCCGGTACACCAAAAAATCATATATTATTTCGTTCAACATTTCTTAATGATACAAATCGTGAACAAGAATATAGTTTAAAAGCAGAACGACGTACAGTATCAACATGTGCATTTTCAATATTTGAAGGTTACACAACTGAACAGTGTGCTTCATTGGAATTAGAAGTTCCATTACCTAAATGTGTATTAGAAGCAAGCACAGGTTTTCGTCGAGAATATACCCTTGAACAATCAAAAGATAAACAAATTGAAGAAGAATTAACATGGTCGGTTGAATCAAATATTAAAGTATGTTTTCTATTTTCAATAAGAAAACTCTCAAGAAGACAAAAAAAAACAACTACTGATGATAAAATGAAAAATAAAAAAGTCAATAGACTGAATGAACTAATCAGTCAAGAAGCAGTATAGCAGTCAATACACATGAATACAGCATAGTAATTAATGAGAAACGAATAGAAATAAATGAGCATGATAATCAGAGATAGATATCCTTCTGCATATCCAGTCCATTTTAGCAAAAACACTCTGATCCGCCTCAGGACATTTTTGGCAAGAATGTCCAATGGAAAAGATAAAAAGTTCTATTGTTCAGTCGAGATTTGCTGAAACTCGAGTTTTTAACATAGAAATATGCAGAATTACTACCGTTTTTCAAGAAATAATATATCTGATCGAACTGAAATCTGTTCAACACTTAAAACCTTCACACAGAATAGAAAACCGCGGGATACCCTTGCTGCACAGATCATAAGTTTGGAAGCAAGCTTGTGTTGAGATAACTTTTTTTTTGTTAATTAATAGAAATATACATATTCTTGCACTTTTCATTGATTTATATTCATTTTCTACAAAATGAACTTTTGTTTTTTTTATCCGGAGAATTCTAATCTCGTGGAATGAACTTTTATTTTATAGGGAGATAGGGAGCTAGTATTTACTGTTTTAGGTGCTTACTTCTCTTTTATTTTATAAAGCACTACATCCCTATTTTTTGACGGATCTCGCAAAAAAGCGATACTCGAAGCACAAAAGGTTTTTCAAAATTCGTGATAGTATTTCGATCTTGTATGATTCATTACTACGAGTTTGATGAAACAGTAGTTGAAAAAAAAAACATTTTTTCTCTAGACTACAAAAGAGCTAATACTGATCTTGAGTTGAAGTGATAAAAAATGTAACAAACGAGCAATCAGTCGAATTCCTCATATTTGAATTAATAAAGGTATAAAAAGATTCGACACGAATGTTTTATTATTTCTCAGACAGGACTAGATTGTTACATATACAAGAAATCGAGAAAGATAATAGAAATCAGTCTGACGACGCGAATAACAAAATGAGTGATGAATTCATTTGTTATACTATTGCGTTTGACGTATATTTGTCTCAATAATATAGACGATATATGTATATTTTCAGCTTTCGACTTTCTCAAAAGATAAAAACCGTGTCATCTATCAAGAAATCGAAATTGCGAATGTTATGTCGAGATGTGATTTCATCGTCCAAGATATCTCTTGTATTCTGCATTTATTAGATACACGATTCTATTTTTTTGTGTCCAATATTTTATCAACGTTTTTTCTTTGTGAAGAAGCGATTCAAAACTTAACCAGGACAAATACATATTTTTCAAAGCATAGACATACAGTGTATGTTACAATAATGACAAAATCCAGAAAAATGAATTCAATTTTTAGACAGACACCGTTCTTTCAACCTCCGATCCTTGATAGATAAACTTTTCAGCTATTCTCTTTCGATTTCAATTAAAATCTCGAATTTTTAATATGTCTATTTTCTGAAGACCTCAGGTTTTCAAAAA